ACATCATGCTTGGGAGGGTGGAGGGACAGCGCAGGAGAGGAAGGCCCTCTATGAGGTGGATTGATTCAGTGACTAGGATAATTGGGATGGGAGTGTCAGAGACGGTGCGAATGGCACAGGACAGAGCAGAGTTTAGGGCTGTTGTACATAGGGTCACTATGAGTCGCAAACGACTTGACGGCACATAACAACAACAACAACAACATGGAAAAGACATTATTTTACATATGTGACATGATGATCATTCAGAAAGGTTGTTCTAATTCCAGGTCACAAAGAACTGATTCAAATCTTTTGTCTCTACTATTTCTACTATACATAAGTGACGAAAAACATGTTCAGGGAAAGACGAAATCCATACCATCCAAAGATGATCAAGATTTTCATCGTGTCTACTTCATTACTTCAAAAGCAATCATTAATTAAATCAGGTAGTGCATGAGGTGCTGCCTAGTGATACTATAACAGAAATAATAGAAGTGGTTGACTGTAACAAACAATAATATATTTTCTCACAGTTTGGGAAGTGAGAAGTCCAAACTCAGGGCTGGCCAGCCCTAAGGAAAGCATTCTGTGTTGGCTCTCAAGGAAGGTCTTTCTATCTGTGTTTTCTGCTCCTAGGCAATCTACATATGGCTCAGTATCTCTTCTTGGCAACTTATTATTTTTTTTCTTTTCTCTTTTGTATTTAAAAAAGAGATTGATTCAAAATACACCTTACACTAATCCTACCTTTAAAGACAGCCCATTTCCAGACAGGAGTCAGAATCATATATATGGAGATTAGGATTTAGAATACTTATTTTTAGAGAGCACAATTCAACCTATGAAGTTTTCAGATTTGTATGTAATAATACATACAGCCAACTTTCTCTAATTTATTTCTTGGTACAATAATATTACTAATATTAAGCCTTCCAATAATTGGTACATAAAAAATTAACAAATACCTGATAGTTTGTGAAGGTTTGTTTCTTGGCTTCTTGGAACATACTCTGACATACTCCTTTTTGTTTGTATTTTCAATGAACTTCACATATATTCTTTTGTATTTATTCTTTGCATCTCCAAAATATCCAAGGTACTAAGGAAAGAAATAGTCTGAATTAAATAATTATATAAGCTATACATAATTATTATCTTTTGACCTGACTGACCATCACTGAGCCATCCAAAATGTAGCTCTGGCAGAATTTCATCCTTAATAAAAATGATCCAAATTCATTCATTATTGAAAGCCTACACAGTAAAGTCATCTTATTTGGAAAGCAGCAGATGCTAACTTATTCAGAGCTACTGAACAGCTACATAAATGCAAATGAGTAACTTCTATTAGTCTTCTGATAAAGCAGCATATCTGATCAACAGAATAATCAATACAAGAACCTTGAAGGCTGTATGAATATTTTATAAACTAGGTCTTTTACTTTTCTAAAAATGTTAACAGTATATAAGAATTTAATTTTAGGCAGAGAAATTGTAAAAAAAAAAAAAAAGAAATATAAATTTAAATTACATGACACAACCCTGCTTGCTGAAACTGTGGAGGACCTGAAGCACCTGCTGCAGAGGGTCAAGGACTGCAGCCTCCAATATGGATTGAGGCTCAATGTCAAGAAGACAAAGATTCTCACCACTGGGCCAATTGGCAGCATCAGGATGGATGGTGAAGAGATTGAGATTGTTCTCAACTTTAGTTTGCTTGGCTCCACAGTCAACACTCTTGGCACCGGTAGCCAGGAAATTAAAAGGCATATTACTATGGGAAAGTCTGCTGTTAGGGACCTCTCCAAAGTACTGAAGAGCAATGGTGTCTCTCTGGGGATCAAGGTACATTGGATACAGGCCATGGTCTTTGCTATCACTTGCTATGCATCAGAGAGCTGGACAACGACTAGGGAAGATAGAAGGAGAATTGATGCCTTTGAACTGTGGTGCTGGAGAAGAGTATTGAGGGTACCATGGACTGCTAGGAAAACAAACAGATTCATCCTGGAAAGGGTTAAACGGGCTACTCCTTGGAATCAAGGATCCTGAGGCTTCATCTAACATACTTTGGACGTGTTGTAAGGAGAGACTGGTCCTTGGAGAGGGACATCATGTTTGGTTAGGGTGGAGGGAGAGCGCAGGAGGGGAAGGCCCTCTATGAGGTGGACGGATTTAGTGACTGGGGTAATCCGGATGGGTGTATTGGAGATGGTGCGACTGGCACAGGACAGAGCAGAGTTTAGGGCTATTGTACATAGGGTCGCTATGAGTCGCAAGCAACTCGATGGCATATAACAACAACATATATTACCCTCCTAGAATCATCGTAAAAAAAAAAAGGAAAAAATAATGTAATTAGGAGTTTTACTTACACTATTTGTAGCAGCAAATTCTCTTTGCCCATCTCTAATTTCAGGAACAAACTTCTGCAATAAAGCTTTTTGTACTTTCCAAATAGCTGGGGGTTCTTTTCCCAATTTTAAAGCCTCCTATAACCAGTAGAATTAATTATATCTGTAAATAGTGGCTTCATATTTTAAATTCATAAAATCTCAGAACTAAAATTAATTTAAAAATTCTATATATATTATCCTTTGCATCACTAATCTAACTGAACAACTATAATAATTCTTAGAAACTGGTTATTTAGCCTCTGTTCACCAATAGGCAAAGTAGCTCAGTACCTTTTGTACAGAGCCAAAAGGATTAACGTGTTTCTTATATATTATTCATGTAATTTTTAATACTGTGTGGAGCTCTGGTGGCCTACTGGTAAACAATTACACAGAGAACCTAATGGCGTGTGGTTCAAATTTACCAGTTGCTCCATGGGAGGAGGATGAGTAATCTCCTATGCAATTTACAGCCTCTGAGAACTCAATAACACACAATAATATACTAAAAAAAAGAGACTAGAAATAAATGCTAAAATATTAAGTACTGTTCATTGTGATCCTAGGAATATAGATTTAAATGTTACACTCTTTATTGCATTTTTTAATGCCATGTTAAAAAAAAAACCAAAAAGAAAGAAAATATAACCAGCTAACCAAGAAAAAGAAATTTTGCTTCTCAAAATAGATTTTTCTTAACCATAAGTTCTTTTACATGGAATTATGAAATTCTACTCCTGATTTTATCTTTGGAAATTAGGAAATACATCTAATTCTTACTTTCATGTAATAATCTAATTATTTCCTTTAAAGTTTTTAACTGGGTAAGTAACCATCTTCAATAAACACCTTCTAAAGAGTTGAAATTGTAAAAATATTATTTTAAGCCATTTAAAAAATATCTACTATCTACTAGATTGAGTTTATTATCTTACTATTTTAGATAACTTGGAAAAATTGTAAAAACATAACTTTTAGCTGCTGAAGCTAAATGCTATTGCAAAGGCTATTTATAGGCATTCCAAACGGATCTTTACATTTGTCAAAATTCACCTTAAACGCCTCTATGTCTTCTATCTTTACCACAAATTCATCCCGTTCTCGATATTGGCCTTCTCCTCCACTTTCTGTGTTTTCTTCATCTGTACAACCTTCTATGGCAACGGTGTCTTGTCCTTTCGCAAACTGTTCTGAAGGAAGGTCATCATGTTCAACATGTTTTGGGGGTTCAGTAGCATTTATATTTTCTGGGTTATTTACTATAGATGGAGTAGAGTAAGGAGGTTCTTGCTTAGCAGCACCCACAGTGGTGGAAGAAGTAGTAACCGTACCAGTAATACTGGCAGTTGGGCTAGTAGTTGCCACCTGGAGGGCTTCTGAAACTTAAGCAAGCAAATGTGAATCAGTAATGTGTGTCATTTACTTATTTTCAGTAAGACCTGAAGAGTTAAAAAGCCCCCAGTGGTTATTTTTGCAATTAAATTTACTGAAACAGCTCAAAACTACAGCATGATATTAAAATGGTTAATATCAAAGACTCAAGAGGAGCTGCATGTAAATGACAAATACACTGAGCAACTCAACAACTGAGGAATAAAAGGGAATTTCCTCACTGATAAAGGGTATTTACAAAACCCCCTACAGACTGAATGCTTTTCCCCTAAGATAATTAACAAAATAAGGTCATCTACTCTGAATCACTTCACTACAAAGGAGTGTACTTACTACTTACTTACTACTAAAGATTTGTAAGGATGTTAAGGGATTGAGGATGGACCATTAGAGCTATAGATGATGCAATCATGTATACAGAAAATCCTGAAAAACTATATCAACAAACTAATTTCAGTAGGATATAGGATTTAGGCATCGAAATTGTTTCTACAGACTAAAAATGAACAATTAGAAAGCATCAATAAGAATAAAAAGGGGGAAACGTAATAAATGTGTAAGGTTTTTACTATAAAACATTATTTTAAAGTTGAAAGTACAAAAAAAGGTTGGAAGTGAATTCTATGTTCACAAACTGAAATACTTAATATTGTGAAGATGCAATGAGCCACAGAGTCAATGCAATGTCTATCAAAACACTAGCTGCACTTATTTGTAAAAATGGTCAAGCTGATTCTAAAATTCATAAGGTAATCCAAGAAAATCATAACAGCCTAAATAAATTTGAACAAGAATAAAATTTGAAGACTAACATTTCCCTTTCACAACTTAATACACGCAGCCAAATAACAGGCTTATAAAGTGATTAACAATCCAAGGAGGAATGCATTCCTTACAACAAGGAACCATATAAAACCAGAAGGTATTTGCCAAGGGTGGTACTCAAAAGGCAAGAAAGGCTAGGAAAGAGAAAAGAAGAGAAATGGGAAATACAGAGAGGAAGTGACAAAGAGTAATGCCACAGTGTGAGGATTAGAACCAATGATACATAACTGAGTGTGTCTGAATGGTGGAATGGAAAACCTATTTGCTATGTAAACATTCAATGAAATCACAATAAAAGGTTTTATTAAAAAAACTAAAGGTAAAATAATTTTTATGTTTTTTTGGTAAATATTTTTTAATGAAAAATACTTAATACATAGCTGGTAGCAACCTAGACATTTTAAAACTAGTATAAGGGGAAAAGCCTGGTATTATGAAAGACAAATCAATAGAACATAACTAATAACCTTTTCAATAAATTGTTTTGAGACACTGTTTTGAATGATCACATGCAAAATAATGTAGCTACAACCCCTGTAACACACACTATATAAAAAAATTAAAACTAATCAAAATATAACAAGCATACATCTTTGTGACCTTGAGTTAAAGAATGTTTCTTATTCATATCACCAAATAACAAGTGAAAAAAAAGTCTAAAATACAAAATCTTTATGTTGAGCCTCCTCAAATAGCAACAAAGTACAACTTTAATGCTGTAAGTAATAACACTAAATAAAATATAAACCAAACACTAGGGAACATATTTAAATACATAATATTTATTAGGGACTTGTATGTAAAAAGAACTGTTAGACTTAAAAAATAAAAGATAATTCAATTAAATATCCCTCTCTGGTGGCCTAGTGGCAAGGAGCTGCAACTACAATCCCAGAGGCGCACGGTTCGAATCCACCAGATGCTCTGCCGGGCAAGGAGGGACAATCTCCTCCTGTACCAGTCAGATCTGATTTGACGGTACACTCATACAAAAATAATAAAATAAAAAAAAATTTAAAAAAATTAAATATCCCTTAAAATACAAAAGGAAGAGATGCTGAAGTAAAAGCTGAACATAAAATTTCAAAGGGCTGATCGAGAAGACAAAGCAAAATATTATAAGAGAATGTGCAGAGAACTGCAACTGGAGAATAAAAGGGGAAAACTCACTCAGCATTCCTGAAGCTGAAAGAACTGAAAAACAAATTCAAGCCTCCATTTGCAATACTTAAGAGATGCCAGGGGCAAAATCCTGAAGGAACCAAGATGTATCAAAAGATGATGCAGGGAGCTGCACTGCAATCCCAGAGGTATGTGGTTTGAATCCACCAGATGCTTTGCTGGAGAAGGAGGGGGAATCTCCTCCTATACTAGTCAGATCCGATTTGGCGGTATGCACACACAAAATAATAATAATAAAAAAAACCAAAAAAAAAAAATGGAGGGAATACTTGAACACCATACATCAAAATGAACTGGCTGATGCAAAAATATTGCAGGAAGTACTGTATAATTAAGAGTAAATTATAATGAAGGCAGAAGTTAGAGCTGTAGTGAAGGCACTGGAAAAAAATAAAGCCTCAGAAATTGATGAGTTATCAACTGACATGTTTCAACAGATGAAGCCCTGAATGCACTCCCCACTCTATGCTAGAAAATTTAGAGGACAGATGCCTGGCTAATTAATTGGAAGAAATTTATATCTGTTCACATTCCCAAGAAAGGTGATCTAACCGAAAGTGCAAATTACCAAACAATATCATTAATATGGTGCTCTGGTGGCCTGGTGGCAAGAAGCTGCACTGCAAACCTGAATCCAACAGTTGGTTTATGGGAGAGGGATGGGCAATCTCCTCCTGTGTGATCAATTGCCTCTGAAAACCAATCAGCAGGTCAGCCATGGATTGGTTCTGACACTATGGTGCACAACAATAATCATTAATATCACATGCAAGTAATATACTGCTGATGATCATTAGAGGACTGAGAGAAGTTCAAGCTAGATTTAGAAGAGGCTGAGATGGGCAAGGTTCAATGTTGATTAATTTTATAAAACATAATGCATAAGAATAAGTGTATGAAACACAATGTGAATGAAGAATAGTGTGAAACAAAACGTATACGAATTTTGTAAGCAAATCAATTAAAAAAAGTGAACAGAGGACGGGGTAGGGAGGAAAATGCAAAAATGAGTGAATAAAAAAATCCAACTTCTCTGTAAACTTTTTTAAAATGAGTTGGTTTCATTTCAGGTGGTACAGAATTCTGGGCATAACAAAGAATGAAGAGAACCTGACAGAATTCTGGATTGCATTTACTTTGACTGCTCAGCTAAGATCAGAAAGGCTGAGAACTGGAGATGGACTATCACAGGGTTTCTTCTTCACTGTTTCACAACGTTTCTTCTTAAATGTACAACAGGCTCCAAGACAATACTTCATGTTAACTACAGTTGGCAACAGAGGTTACAGCAGAGAATCCAGATGTTTTAAAAAGGAATGGAAGTAAGGCTCATCATTGCCTCAGTCTTATTTTTTGGCAGATTTCTTAATTCCACCCCTGGCCAGGGGCCCTTTGTCCACGGCTTTCACTTTTAGTTCCTCGAGTTTCTTCTGTTCTTTTTGTTTCTGCTTGAAAGCCTTATCTTCCTCATCCATCTCCTTGGTCTGCTTCTTGGACTGTTTCAGGGGCTGCTTCTTAGCACCTCTGTGGCCAGACATGGCACTGGCACTTTCCCCAGACCTTCTGTAAACTTTTAAAAAAAAAATAACAATAATGATGAAAAAAATGCCAGTCTTTTCACCAACTGCACATCATAGTCAAATAAATGTCACAGAAGACATTAAAAAAAAAAGGAGAGGCAGAGACACCAGGGATATCACTGCTGATGTCAGATGAATCCTGGCTAAAAGCAACTAATATCAGAAGGATGTCTACTTGTGCTCTATTGACTATGCCAAGGCACCTGATTATGTGTATCATAACAATTTATGGCTAACACTGAGAAGAATAGGAATCGAGACTTAACTGTGCTCATGTAAAACTTATACTTAAGACCAAGAGGCCACTGTAAGAATAAAGCAAGAGCCATGGTGTAAAATAAGAAAGGTATGTGTAAAGGTAGTATCCTTTCTTCGTACCTATTAATCTGTGTGCTGAGCCAATTATTTGCGAAGTTGGACACTATGAAGAAGAACGTGGCATCAGGATCAGAGGGAGACTCATCAATAACCTATGTTACACAGATGGCACAACCTTGCCTGCTGCAACTGAGGAAGACTTGAAGTGCTATGGCCTTCATAAGGATTGCATCTCAAAAATCAAGAAAAATAGAAAATTAAGCAAACAGAATACAAAACATCATGAAAAATGGGAAAAGACTGAAACTGTCAATGACTTCACCTTACTTGGATCCACAACCAACACACCTTTTGCACCAGCAAACACATGATCAGAAAACGTACTGCACTGGGAAGTGTTTGTAGTCAGACACTTCTCCAAATTACCGAGGAGTAATTATTTCAGTTTGAGGACTAAGGTGCACTTGATTCAGATTATAGTCTTTTCAATCACTTGATATGCATAAGAGCTAGGAATAAGGATGATATAAGAAAAATTGATACCTTTGAGTTGTGGTGTTGGAGAAGAGCACTGAAATTCACACAGACTGCCAAAAAACCAAACAGACATGTATTAGAGTGCTCTTTGGAGGCAAGGATGGTCAAACTGTGTCTTACATAATTTGGGCATGTTACAAAGAAAGGCTATTCCTTGGAAAGGGTTATCATGCTTGGAAACATGGAGGGTCAGTGAAAAAGAGGAAAACCCTGAACCAGATAAACTGACTGACTGTAGAAAGGGGATTACATATGTCGGAGAGGTGAGGATGGCACAGGATAGGACAGGGGTCAGATACGATCATTTATAGGGTGGTTATGTTTATAGTACTCAACAGCACCTAACAACACAACCAACCATATTATCCTGACAGAGAGTGCATCTGGGTTATATCCTTTCTCTATACCTATGCAATCTATATGCTAAGCAAAGAATTAACAACATGCTTTATACAAATGACACAATGTAGCTTGCTATTTTTGTTTTATAAATTATGATAAAAATATTTATAGCAGAACATTTACCCATCTAACAATTTTTA